GAGAGCTGGAACAGCAAAAGAGTTCGTGGTTGTCCAGCACCATCAATATTCTTTGATAGATTTAGAACCAGTAGTAGTACTAACACGGTTCACACATCACTTCAAAATAGACACCAAAACATTTTTGGGCACTCTGCAGACGGTTTTCAGGGTTTTCAAAGATTCTCGCTGAAAAAGGTTCATTCAAGGGATAAAAAGGTCATGATTATAGTTTTTATGGGTCAAAATTGGAAGCAAAATGCGGAATTCGCACTGGGGACGTGGGTGGGATGCTCCAGTGTGAATCGCTGGTAGCCAGCCAATCAGGAGCACGGCAGACATTCTCGGCGCGCTTCTTATTGGCTGGAACGAATGCGGCGTCTCTGATTGGTTGACCAATTAGAACCGAGTTTGAGCATCCCATCCACAGCCTCATAAGTTTCACTCGCTTTTTCTGTTGCGATATAGAATTTCGGTTTGTTCAATCGCTTAAGAAGGTGATATTTACAGCACCAATTAGTATAGTAAATAATAAGTGCTCTCAATATTGCCAGAAGGCATATCTCTTGGAAAATCGCCAAAACTATAGGGAAAATGAGATGAAGCTATCTCAGAGAAACAAGATTTATACTTGAATTTTTGCCTTTTTTTTAGAAATTAATGCTGATTTTTTAGGGTCTGGTAGCATACGGGCCCGTGGACCGATACATAATGCGCCACTCCCATCAAAGGATACAACCGGGATGACGTCGTCGTGATCGTGTTGTGTTCATGGATCATCATCGTCAGTGGCCGCAACCCGGCCACCCCACTGAGCTCCCACCTCGGCTCCCGGCTCAACGATACGGCACCGAGTCTTCTACTCAGTGATCCCCACATCGCGCTCAGTATCCCTTCCACGTCCATCACTCTCAATTGCTCACGAGGCTCAAATGTTCACTTCCGACTTCGGTTCGATCGTCGTCGTCGTCGTCGTCGTCATCGTCGTCATCATCGTAACGTGCGAAATTCGACCCGAAACCCGGTTCTTCCATAGTTGCTCAGTTCAGAATTCTAATTGTGCTTGACAGTTTCGCCCCCCCCCTCATTGTATATAGAACCCTGCTTATTTATTACGACCCTTTCCATTTAATTGTTATATCGTTTATATGACCCGGGGCTCTTACAAGAGCTTCCGTACTTATTCTCGGTCGGCGTTGTTCTCGAGAATCTCTTGCGATTCGCTTCGCCTACCACCGTCATGTCTTCCCGCCCCTCGCCCAGCATCCGTTTGCCATCGTTTTTCATCCCATAGAATCCCATTTTTATAGTGGTCCGTCGGTATGCGTGCATGCTTGTGACCCCATTTTTGAAGCGGGATTTATTTTTTGGTTACGGTGCCCGCCGTCCCGGCCAGATTTAGCTCAAAGCGCACCGAATCGTGTGCGCGGCTAGTTCCATGTCGTGTGTATACTGTAAGTGATCATGACTGTTTTCCATATGTTTTCTGTTAAGTTGCTAGTAATGTGTGTTTTGTTTACGAAATTTCTCTCGGCTATGAAACCGTGTGATTTAAATAAAATCGTTAAAATTGATGCTGATCATGAGTGGTTGTAATAGGCAATTTTGCCGTTTCCAACAAGAAACGTTCACGGGTGGCACTTTGTGAGGCCACGCCTACAAATGCGGTAGCTCCGCCCCTTTCATATGTCGACAGAGTGGGTTGATGACAACTGAGAGAAGAGTGGTTATTGAGAAGTAGGCAGAAACCGATACTTCCTGAAGGTATGCCCCAGGATCGAGTTGGCGGAAACAAGAGAACGCAGCAGATGAGAGGGCGCCAGAGAACAGGCAGACTGATAATAGAAAAAAAACGCAGCTGCTGCAGCTCACTTTGCAAGGCCCTAGTGCTCTTGTCGGATGATTTTCGAGCACGGAATTTGTACCTTCCTTAAGGGGTCTATTCCACAAACTGAAAGGGATCGTTCGCACATTTTCTGCCTGGGATTGTGCCTTTAAACCCATTCGCGACCGCGCAGGATTGCGCAATAGCAGCAGCGTCAGGAGATTTTTCTTCAATAAAATTCGAGTGGAGGGAGATTTCCTCTGCCCAGGGCTGGCGTAGATGAGCGAGGGTATGAAGATTCTTTCCATGGAAAAAAAAAAACTTCTTTCTATTCAAACAGTTTCGACCACCCGCTTTAAACTGACTGCATTCGAACCTTACATTTGCTGGGAGCCCGTTACATTTAGCTGGAAAGCTTGATCTCCTTTAATTAGCTGACTGACGTAGCCATTATTAAGGAGATTACAAATTTAACACACGATAACATACAACAGTGTTAGAACAAACAAAAAGAAGCAATTTCACTGCGGGAACGGCGCAGGATGCAGGATGAGTTAGCTTTTTCAGGATGGCCTCGGAGTTCAGAAATGAATCGTGTGGTCACAAAACGAGCAGCGAATGCTCGCCGGGAAGCAATCACGGACAAGTGGCGGTCCGACAGAAAAATTCCAAACCCACACCCAGCTTTCGAGGCGTAAAGTCGCTTTTTGACTTTCCAGGTTGAGATTGCTTTAAAATTTACTTCAAATGTTTTCCGCGAGTAGGGCCTGCGTATACTTTAGTGCCATTAGTATTGAAAGAAGCAGACCCTGCTGGGACTGTTGCTTTAAGAAAGACTGAGTATCATTCATGAGAGCTACTTCTTCTTCACTTCGACTCGAAGCAGTCCTGAAAGCCATGAATTGAATGAATTCGAGTCTAGTATTGAACTGAGGTTCCACACTTGTTTTGCACCCTAAAGGAATGCAAAACTAAGCAGGGGAAGTAGAATTTTCACTATGGTAGGCGCGCTATGTAAGTGACTGCTATAACATTGAGCTCATCGTTTCCTCTTTGCAGATTCCGATTATTTCTTCACATTTGGCCACTAGGACACACCTGGTAAGGGGGAGAAACTTTGGAAGGAATAAAAATTACTAACATTGCTAATTCCGTGCTCCCCTCCCTCCTCCAACATTAGTTTCACGGCCCATGGCATGTCGTAAAGTCGTTACGTAAATTAAATACGCGCGCCCTATCTCATGTTCAAAAATTGGTATGCCCTTGCCTAGTAATGTCCCCATAAAACTTACCTTGGCAAAGTGTCAATTTGTAGATCAAAGGTGAGCGTGATAGGTCACAAAGGCTTAAGGAGAGCTCGTTAGATCCAAGGTGTGTTTTGGTTGGCGGATTTATGGGCGGTCACTAAGGTAAGGGGAGGGGAATGACTGCCTAATAAAAAAGTGACCCTACCGATCTTGACCCTATCGACAGCACCACATTGGTCTCCATACAACAGTTCGAGGATCAATACGGGTTCGATCGCTCGGGTGACAAGTTCCCGTCCAAAGTTCATATACTCCTTCGTTTTTGATACCTTTTAGTGTTCACTATTGAAACTGGTATAATTCTTGCAATTCTTGGTGCTATACAAGTAGGGTGGGCACGCCGCATTTTTTGAACGGAAATGTATGTAAGTGGGACTGCTGCTCGCTACTATACTGTCACGAGAATCGGGAATTCGTGAGCCAGGGAGGAGTGTAGCCAATCTAGGGGGGGGGGGGTGAGGGCAGTCACTTGACATGCGTTGAAAAAACTGGGCCGTGCCCACCCACTTGTATCCCCATTTTCTCCTTTGCTACGCTTCGTTATTATCATGTAAAAGTCGGAAGAATCCAGGGTGTGGCCTCTATTTTGTGCCTCATCTCTGCATCACTACACTTAGGCGCTGAAACAAGAAGAATCGATTCATATTACTATACATTACCAAACCACGTTGCAGATCCTATGCAGAAAAGTGGGTGCTAGGCTAGTCGGACGGGCACGCCGATTTTGAATACGGTAGGCGCCAAATGTACGTGAATGCATGCATCCACCGTTATGACCTGACGAGGCGCTATAGGAATCGATAATCGTTATTGCTTTATTTCTCTTCCCAACAGTTGATGATTTTTGCTCCGCTCCGATCGTTGACCATATTAACATATCGATCGAATGGCACTGAGCCTTTGGGGAGGGGACGCGCCCCCCAAGCCCTCCTTCCATCGGCCTATCCCCCCCGCCCACTCGATTCTCGATATCTTAACAGTGGACTCCAGCACATTTCCACCTACCGTATATAGAGAAGTCGGCGATTCAATCCTACTCATTTTCGTAGATTTCAGTTCTAACCGGTTCTTGCTAGGACAGTCTCAATGGGGCTCGAAATTTTGAGGTGAGTAAACAAGTTTCGTTTTCCTTAAAACGCCCATCCCCCTACCCTCCTCTCCCCTGTTCTCGGTTTACCTTTCCTTGCACCACATGTCCACAAAAAAATGGCGTCAAAATCAAAGAAGAATATGAAAACGAGGTGTTCAGCTACTCCAATGGCGTCTATCAGTGACGAACCATTCCTTGAATAGTGTCGCAATTTCTCCTAATGTATTGTGCGTTTGAGGCCGTAACCTTACAGGCGCGCCTTCATACGCAAGGCACAACCAAGGTGCACCTCGCATTAGTGATTTTGGTGCGCTCATATTAAGCCAGTTGTGTTGCCTCTGACTCTGCTGCCTAATATCTATTTAGAGAATGGTGCAGTTGCACGGAGGGTGGCCGGCCTTTACAATAGGGCGTCGCGTTCTAGACACAAAGCCACCCAGGTCAATTGAACCTTGAATCTGAGGCTGTACTTCGTATAAGGCATGCTATACGAAGTTATTCACAAGAATGCTGGGTTGTGAACAAAACTTTCGCCCCAGGCGGGACTAGAACCCGCACCTCTCGCTTTCCGGGCAAGTGCGCTACCAGTTACGCTACCGGGGCACCATTTCATTCCAACTCAGCTTTTCATGGTATACTTAAACTTGAAAAGAACTTGAAGGAACAGAGAAAAAACGAAAAAAACAGGAAAGCAACTCCAACTCTTACAAACAAACAAAAACAGCTCGTAGTCACCGCTATTTTGGACCGGGCGGGTGCGGGGGTGACCGCGCCTCTGTCGTCGGCCTCAGTAATTCGAAATCTCTTTGAGGTGGTGCATAGCTGCCAAATTGGGTTAAAGGAATCTTCCACGGACCATGGACCAGTGGGCGGGACCGGAAGTGGTTTTGCGACGAAATGCATGGTAGGTACGGATCCACGTTCATGGGAAGGTTTGAAGTGAATCCTGTTCACGTTCGTGCGTTCGACACGTGGATCCGTACCTACCATGCATTTCGTCACAAAAACTTCCGGTCCCGCCCACTGGTCCATGGTCCGTGGAAGATTCCTTTAACAAACTTTCGCTGTTACAAAAAGGGGCTGGATGAGTATTCTTTCTTTTTGGCGTTTACCAAATTCATTAGATTCCTTATCTAGATTATCATTAATGTTTTGGTGCCATTTTGTGAAGTTCCTGAACAAAATTTTACTGTTTTGACAGAACCCTACTGTTTACCAACCATTCGCACTCTTCTAGGCGATTTCAGGGAAGTGTGGCTAAGGGTGTTTGTCTTAACAAAGAGGGTAATAAATCAACTGCAGAATAGGTTAAACGTAACAAAAATCCGTCACTTTGTCTAATCGCTGTGTTTCTTTCGCTTAGCGATTAGGTCATTCCACCTTCCATCACAATTACACAGTTTACAGTGGTTTGTTGATCAGTGAAATCGCTCTGTCTCAAAAAATTCAATCAGTATTTATTTGTCTTTTTCACACAATGAGTTCTGATTGCATTATGATAGAAAATCAACGATGGCACCCTTCTCGGTATTGAAT